AGGAAGTAGGTCAAAATCTATGTCTGTTATCTAGAAATTACTATGACACTAGTTTGTAAATGAAAGCAATAGGTAATGGGTTAAAGTAAACATACAAAACGGAAATCATAAGTTCCTCTCATGTTTCTTTTCTTTTTTGCTTTAAACTTTTTCTTTATATTATTTTGATTTGATAATTTATTAGGTTATATGTTATCTTGTACGATTATTCGCTTATAATTTGGTTAATATTTAGTATAGATTGGTGATTTTAAGATTGTGATGATTACTTTTATTTTTATGTTTAGTGTTAGGGATTTTTAAAGTATGTTTGATTTTTGTTGTTAAATTTAATAAAATATTTTTCTCAAATGGTACTGCCGAAAAACCGACCTGATAACTAATTTTATCGATATATTTTATCGACCTATCTAAGTCGGACACCATTAGGTTTAAATCCTAGATTCGCCACTCATTGCTGGTTAGAAGTGTGAAATCACAACCCCTTATATGGTTGTTAAATCGAACAAATTGTGTACTGTGTGTATATGATATTTTTATGTGTATATGTGTGTAAGATCAAAATGCTCAAGACAATGATCAGAATTTGTTACATAGGTATATGTGTATTACCAAACTGATATATGAGATGTTTATGTGTATTATCTGTATTTGATACACTAAAACACATGAAAACAGATAAGAAAAAATATATATATGTTTTATCTTATTGATATGTTAGCAAACTGATATATGATATGTTTATGTGTATTAGCAAACTGATACTATATAATTGTAGTAATATCAAAGTTGAATCTTCTTGTCTTCAAGTTGTTTTATCTTTAGGTTAAACAAAAAAATATACGTTTTATCTTATTGACATTAAGCACATAGTGTTAGCTATTTGTAAATGTGTGTTATGTGGATGATTAGCTTTTTTTTCCTTCATACAATAGACATGACAGATAAAAGAATTAGGGTTAGTTGGAAGTCGGAATTGGTGGACAAAACTTTTTTGGAAGCATGTATTCAAGAATTAACAAGCAATAGCCGGGAGGTTAGTGGCCTAAAAGCAAGTTCGTGGGCTGTGGTCGCGGAGAAATTGAAAACAGATCATAATTTTATTGTCGAGAAAAAACAAATGAAAAACCGATACGACTATTTAAAAGCAAAGTATGCAGTGTGGTTAAAACTTAAAAACAAAACAGGAAATATTTATAATCCCGTAACGAATTCTTTTAACATGACTAATGAAGAATGGGAAGCGGAAGCGAAGGTACATATATATACATATTTTTTAAAGTAGATTATTTTTTACTACTTTAATAATATTTATTAAATTTGTCAAACAGTTGAACAAGTATGTATATAAACTGAGAAATGCACCCCTCCCTTGCCCTGAACTTTGTACCCAACTATTTGATAGGGCGACCTCGACCGGTGTTCACAGTCCTCATCCCAATGAAACCTTCAGTATACATGATTTTGAGGATACAGAGATGGATGAACCAACACCTCATGCAGATACCCCAAGCTCAACAGTACCTCAACCTACTAGTGAGGAATCATCTGGGCGGACAAAAAACAAGGGGGCAAACGAAATGGTCCTAAAGAAACCATACTTGATGATGAGTTGAAAGAAGTTGGAAAAGAAATTATCAAGGTTGCACAAGCATTCACCGAAGCAAATAATCTTGACAAGGAGATGGATGCTTGTATGGCGAAGTTGACAAGCTTGGAGTGGGGAGAATATGATTCGAAATACACCACTGCTCTTATGTTATTTGCTGAAAGTGCTGGTAGTAGGAAAATTTGGTTGCGCCTTAACTTGTCAACTTGTGAGTCGTGGGTAACAAATGCGGGAAGAAAGTTTGGATTAGTTGGTTGCCTTTAGTATTTACATGTTACATTTGACTTTAGTATGTTATGGTTCATTGTTTGACTTTAGTATGTTATGGTTCATTGTTAGACATTAGTACTCTATGGTTTAGTTATGTTATGGATTGTTTTTCTTAGGTGTGGTTATGTTATATGAATATATATGTTATGGAATGTTATGTTTTTCGTATTTACATGTTACACTTTGTTATGTTATGGATTGTTATGTTATTGATTAAAATGTAATTTGTATTTGACATCTAACAGGACACATGAATAAAGAATGTGACTTTTTATATTTTCTTATATTCTCGTGGTATTGGTTGATGTTGGTCCGACAAAGGCAAAGAATAATTAAAAGAATAAGAGCTAGCGAACGGGTAGCAAATGGGTATGTGTATACACAAGATTTGATATACGGATGTCCTATACAATGTTACGATATGATACGTCTTTCACAAGATGCATTTCTACTATTATGCAATCACTTTACACAAAGAAATTGGTTGCAATCTAGTAGGACAATAAGCATTGAAGAGAAGATGGCTATGTTTTTACATGTTATAGGACATAATGAACGTTTTCGAGCTGTTAAAGAAAGATTTCATCACTCCACACAAACGATTCATCAATGTTTTCATGAGGTCTTGCGTGCAATGATGTGTTTTGCACGAGAAATTATAGTACCAACCTCGTCTAATTCAACAAGAAATACCTCAGAACAACATAGACGGATAATGTAGATATTTCCCGGAGCAATAGGTGCACTAGATGGAACACTTGTACATGCAGTTATGCTTGTTGATCAACAAACTCGTTATAGGGGAAGAGGAAAAGGTGAATGTTATCAAAATGTAATTGGAATGTGTAATTTTGATATGATATTCACCTTTGTATGGGCTGGATGGGAGGCATAGCACATGATTCTAAACTTTTGAAAGAAGTTGCATTTAACCCGACTTCCGGATTTCCATTCCCTCCAACAGGTTTGTAACTTTACTATACGTTTTATTATCTATATTATTTATACGTTAAATTTGTCATACATCTACAGATATATATATTACCTTTGTGATGCCACATACACCAACACTCATGGATTTATGGCTCCTTACCGCAATACTAGGTATTGGTTAACTGATTTTCGAAGAAATAGAGCTTTGACTAAGGAAGAAATTTTCAATAATGCTCATGCACAACTTAGAAATTACATTGAACGTGCTTATGATGTATTGAAGGCGAGATTTCCAATCTTAAAACAAATTGCTCCTTATCCTTTACCAGTGCAAAGAGACATAGTCATTGCTTGTGTTGCGGTCCATAATTTTATAAGGAAATACGATATTTAAGATGAATTATTTACGAACTTTGAACAAAACACTATGGTTACTCATAATGTGGGTGGTGGAGGAAATGAGAGTCAAAACATAGAAGGCATAGAATAGGGTTCAGAAGCCGTTAACTATATGACTACTTTGCGTGACCAGATTGCTAATCAGTTACTTTCAAATGGTTCACGTTAAATAGTGTACTTTTTTATTATGTATGACAATTTGTATTTGGATTTTAATTGATGTATGTTTAATTTGGATTTTATATGATAATTTGTGTTTTTATAATTTTTTTATCGAGCAAAAGAGACAATACAGGGGTAATATGATCATTTTTTTCATTCAGCACAACCATTCAGATAAATAATCAAACAGCATAAACTCAGTCAGATATGGATTCAGACAGCATTTCTAACCCAGACAACTTATAACCCAGTCATATCTAACCCAGTCAGCAACTATCAAACGATCCCTTAGCAAAACATTATGTGGTTTTTTTGTTTGCATTATCTATGCCTTTTAAAGTGTATGCAATATAATTAATAAAATTTGAAAGTGTTTAAATGGAATGAATAACAACCAAAGTTATAAATTGAAACAACTTATCAAACCACATAAACCGTACATACATTGCACAAACCGCACCGCATAATGCAGTTTAGAGCTTTTGTGGTGCGGTTTGCGGTTTCGAAAAAGCTCAAACCGCATGTGCGGTGCGATTTGCGGTTTCAACTCTAAACCGCACTAAACCACACCGCGCACACCCTAGGTAGCACTAGTAAATGTATTTAGAAGAAGGTAATCAGATTTTGTGAAAGTAATATAGATACAAACTTCTTGTTTTTGATCGGTGTTTAAAAGAGTGAGTGAGGGCCCGATTTCCGACACATTTTTGGTCGGATCGGACTGTAACTGGTTTTAGAGAAATCCTGATATCGTGGACCGGACCTTAGTGATACATATTAGTTTCGGTGTCGTGCCAGTTTTTCGGTGATCAGATTAACGTGGTACTTCATTTGTTGCTTCGTTAAAGAAGTTACAAAAAACTCTCAGCTTTAATATGCTGACTTCGGAGGTCCGAATTGTAGCTCAATTAATATGGAACAAGGAATGTATCGGCATTCGGCAGAATGGCTAATCAATCACTCACATGCATACGAACACATGCTACCGGTCAAAACCATTAACTGCATCATACGTTAGAGAACTGAGATTGACAAAAATCGTAACTGCAGTTTGAGCATTAGGGTTGGGAATTAAGCAACGATTTTGAGGTAAATTTGTACTTTCTACTTAAGTTATGGAAGTAATGTTAGCTTATATGTGGTCTTGAGTCGATTCGTTGAGAGATTTTGGATTAGTGTAGCTCAATCGCCGGTAATTTTGACCACTCCCTTAGTTGGATGTTGAGCCTAAACTGGAAGAATTGAGGTTGTTGCATAGGTATTTGAGTACCCAAGGGAAGATTAAGGTAAATTTAAACCCTGCGTATACAATTTGTTTCATCAAGCGTATATGGAATTTGTAAATTCCGGTTTAGATCTTCATTATCCATATCAATATATCTATTTTCTGCAAGAAAAATGTGAAGCAAAATAAATTCAATTTATTCCCATTGAGCGTTAAAAGTGAATCCATAGGTGTGTCATGCGATTCATATGTCTAATTCTTTTTAAAATTCAGATTTATGATCGGTTCCTTCAAATAGCAATAATCAAAGCAAGTAAAGATCAATTCTTTCTTCAAGCCCTATTTGTCTTCTACAACACAAATCTTGCATTCTCTTACTATGTCAAGAAACAATTTTTTAATTCAAACTTTATTGATGATGTGATGTTTATTTCAAGAAAACACTGTGAATGTTGAAAATGCCAAACATGGCTACAACAATGAGAATCTTCAAACATATGCATCGGGGTTTTTAAGGAGGTAGCCTTCCACAACCTTGTAAAGCCCTAAAACCTTTTCTTTTCCTGCATTTAGTTCTTCTTCCTTGAGCTCAAAATCACCATGGGTGTAAATAGTTGTGATCATTTTCGCAATGGTGCCATTATCAGGTGAAGCTTCAAACTTAATATCATACGACACCTTTTCAATCTTGTCTGATATACCCATACCTTCAATCAAACTATACTTGTATGTGAATGTCTTCTCATTCACTTCATCTATTTCGTGCTTCACAAAACCTACATACAAGAATTTAATTAGACACAAATATTTTCCCCTATTAATAGATATTGGATCAGATATAAGTTTACCTCCTGCAAAGTTAATCTGTTTAATGCTTCCGGCCCCACCATCACCTTTGATAAATTCAACGCTTTTGATTGCATCTGGCAAGAGTTTTGGCATCAAATTGTGGGAGTCGATAATTGAGGCCTTGAAAATTCTTGATGGAGGGATGGTGGAAATGTGTTCATCGGTATATGTCAACACACCCATGGTTTTTGAAGGCTAAAAGATTGTTAATTGCTGATTTTGAGAATGTTGTGATTATGGAGATTAAATGATGATGTGGGTATTTATAGGTTGAAGCTAGAGAAACTGTTTTGAGTACATTTGAAATTGGTAGAGCTTTGAGGGGTTGTATTTTGTGCAAGTGTAATGGTTCCTTGCATTGGGAAAGTCATCTGTTTGCCAAAATTCTATTTCTTGTCCACGTTTCAAATATTCTCAGGTAATAAACCTTGTTAATCAAACAAAATCAAGAATAATCTCACAAAAAACAAAGACTGAATACATTGATTATGTTTTTTTTTTTGAATTTGAAATGGCATATCCTTTCATGGGTATAAGATATATCATTGTATGATCACATGCTGCAAATGGAGCATGATTCACGAAAGCGGACATGAGATATAGAGTTCCTTACAGATTTCAATTCACCATGTGAGTTTGTTATATTTTTCTACATATTTGTCTAATTAATTCATTTCATAATCTTTATGGGATTAAGGTAGTTATGTAATCTTTAAGGTAGAACACAAATCTTATGTTAACAAGAAGAAACTAATATTGGGAAATTTAGCACTTCTTTTAGAGTGTTTCTCAAATCAGGAGATACAAATTCAAATACACGTTTCAAAGGAACGGAAATACAATATATTTAGTAGAACAATAATTCTATACACCCAAATTTCAATTTTACAAATTACACACAAATCTAATAAATATTACAATATGATCTTGGTGAGGTATCAAGAATCATACAAATCAACCATATTAATTTTCAATACTAACACAAGAATGAACACTTTACGAATTTACCCCTGCCAATAATAATAAAATTACTCAATCACCCGAGTAAAAAAAAACACATTTTAACTAACCCTAGCTAACGGTGAACCACTGTATCCAAAACTACCACGAACAACTTTTGTTCGTGTAGTCCTCTTCTTCATTGTCTCCTTATCCAATCTCCCGCCAATTTTATTCCCAAAAGCCGGTAAACTTTGACTGACCTTTTTGACTTCATCCCTATTAGCACCTCCATTAATAAGTATTCTTATAACTCCAGCGTAATTCAAGGAATCCGCAATTTGCATAGCTGTCACACCCTTATTGGTTCTCGCCTTAACATCTGCCCCTTTCTTCATCAACAATTCAAGAACATCAACATTCCCAGATTCAACTGCACAATGCATAGCAGTGTACCCATCTTCATCTCTCGCATCAATATTAACACCCTTTTCAATCAACACTCGTACAACATCCGTATGCCCTTTAAATGAGGCCCGATGCAACCCCGTCCACCCGTGCTGATCCACCCCATTAATGGCGGCACCACCTTCAAGTAACCGATTAATTGCTCTCACCTCCCCTTTCCTCGCCGCCACACTCAGCCTATCACCCAACCGGAGCACATCAAACAACCGCGTGTGCCCATGCTCCGCCGCCACGTCGTACGCCGTTTTACCTAATTTGTTCTTAATGTCCTTATTACACCCCTTTTGTAACAGAAGCTTCACCATGTTATCGTCTCCGAGGGCGGCGGAGATGTGTAACGGGGTTTCGTTATCGGAATTTCCGATATCGACCTTTGCTCCGGCAGCCAAAAGGACTCGAGCACAGTCTCGCCGCCGCTCCTCCACCGCCAGGTGTAACGCGGTGTTCCCGTCTTTCGTAAGGGAGTTCACGTTCGCACCTAGGAGCAAAAGAAGCTTCAAAACATCCACATGACCACCACCCGCGGCTAAATGAACCGCACCCCATGTGGATGACTCGAACCGCTCAATGCTAGCTCGGTGAGCCAGTAACAGCTCCACAATCAAGGTCTCACCCGAGCTAGCCGCGGACTCGAGTGGGCTCGACCCGGACCAATTTCGACACTCGACGTCCGGATCGAACTCGAGTAACACCTGGACTAAATCGGGTCGACTTTTGGAAACCGCTAAATGGAGTAACGATTGACCTTCCGAGTCAACCGAGTCGACCGCGTTCCAACTCGGGTCACTCTTTTCTAAAACCTCGCGAATTTCATCTATCGACCCTTTCTTCACAAGTCGGGTCATTACCATCGACCCAACGAACATGACCCGTATCGCGCTATCCACAAAAACTTGTTTTTTACGCGTTGTGAACCAATCGCTCGGGACCGAATCATGGGTCGAGGTCGGGTTTTTAGCAGAAGCACCAGGGACCACGACACTGTGTAGCAAGAAGGAGTCATCAGAGTAAGGAAATGAGCCACCCCTCGGGAGAGATGAATCTTGAAAATCGTATGTGATTTCGATTGTAACGGTTGTTAATGGGGAAATGATCCCGGATTGTGGACGGATAGTGTAACGAGATTTGTTCATTGGTTGTAAACGGAAAGCTACGGGCATTGTGTACATGACGTTTCGTAACGTGAGTTGACCATAACACCTTTGACCTTGTTCGATCCGTATTGCAACCACATTTGATGGCTCTAAGGTTATTAACCTGTCCATGGTGTTGTAAATTCTAATGGTGGTTGTGTAAGGATGGAAGAAGAAAGATTTGTGGAAAAGAGTTTGAGTGGTATGTAAATAGAAGGGCTACTTTTACTTGGAAGAGTGCCGGCTATCGTTAGGGATTCTTTTCAATTCCAAATGGTGGTGGAAATAACAATGTTGAATTGTTGTATTAGGTGTACCTTTTGTTCCCATATGTCACTTTCATCAACGTGAGACAAGGTTTTTGATTGGGGTATGTGCTTTCATTATTAAAAAAGAGGTAAATGTAAGTAAGGAATAAGGATATATATATTTGTTTGTATATGTATTATACCATTTTGTTTTTGTTTTTTCTTTCTACTGTAACGTTCTATTGCTGTATACTCTTAATATTTTATGCTAGGTGTCATTTTGATAGTAATAATAAATGTTTTTTATGACTTCTTTTCTATATTATTTTGCATATTTAATAAAATAAATCAATTGATAGAAATTAATAAGTTTATATGTATCTAAGATAATTATAGTCGCTTTAATAGGATAATTCGGATATCACAGTAGACGTATTGATAGTGTCATGTAGACTTATATGATTCAATATCAATTTATCGAGTTCAAATCTACATTTATAGTGTGATGAGAACAAAATAGACAAAAAATAGTAACCTACTGAATACAATTTTTTTTTAAAAATGTGTATTATTTATTTGATGACATTAACCCAATCCAGATAGACCAATAAGTAGTGGGGAAAAACGTTTGAAGAACAATAACAAAAGAAAATCACCTAATAACATTTTTTAAAGCTAATTGAAATAGTAAAAATATAAATAATACCTCCTATTACAAGTGCTCCCTATTTGTTGAGTCGAATATTTAATCTGTATCTTCTTGGGTATTATTATATGTTCGAGTTCTTGCAATGAAAGTGATGGGTGATTTTGAAGATTTCTGGAATTGAAAGCCAACCTAAGTGACAAAGGTTGGGTCAAAAAATAGGTTAAAACTTGGGGTATGATATCATAATTTTTGTTATAGAGATGTGAGACACCTGTCTGATATGTGATGTTTCGTTGTTTCGATTGTAATCCAAAATGTTAAAAAAGATAATTCCAATGAAAGGACTGAATTTGTAAACTCGTGCAAAGTAGTGGGTCCCTATCCCTGAGTTTTGTGGATTTGGAATTATAATATCCGTAATTTATATTTGGCAAAAGAGGCGAAACTAGTGGCCTATATTTGTTAGATATATGGTTATATATTTACAACTTTAGAATTTACTGTTTACAAAACATAAGAATAATAATCATTAACTAGAAAAGATTCTTTGGCGTTACCGGGATCGGAATATATTATTCTGTAAAGTAAAGTAGAATGTTGAATTGTATTGAAATAATCTAGTAAATAAAGATAAACAATTTCATCTAATTACATAAGTAAAGAAATCTAAATCATTATTTATTGCAATAAATGAAGAAAATAAAAAAATGGTCTCACAAATTGAACTTTATTGCCATGTATGACAGCGGCGGGAAAACCAATCCAGAAAATATAGATTGTTGTTTTTTGTTCGTTAATGTAAGGGTAATTTGGTCTTTTAAGGTAGTAGGGACTGAATTTGTGACGACGGGTAACCATATGGACCATTTATGTAATTTTGGCGATGGTGGTGGTAGTGGTGATGGCAGCTGGTGGGAGGCTTTATGGTATTGGGTGAGTATTTTCTAATAAATAAAACATTAATTTAAAACCAAAAGGATAAATATAAATTAATAAAAAAATCGGATTAGGAGTAAAAGAGTGATTTTGGTTTCCATCGTTGTCCTCAATGTGTTAAATCTGGTAAACCACAGGGACCAATCGTGTAATTTAGTCTAACAATAATAATAATGAGTGACCATTTGTGACAAAAGACTAAATACTAATAATATGTAATAAAAGGTGAAGGTTATGAAAAATTCAAACGAAAGTGAAAGAATTGTTTGTGAACAAAAGCATAAAGGTGAAGGGTTAATATTGTAAGTAGTTTATCAAAAGTGACCAAAAAATTTGACAAAAAAAAATGAGCAAACTTACATAACCTTAGGGATCAACATTGCTAAACACTTAGAAAATTATTATTCCTAACTTTCATCTCTTTAATATATATATATATATATATATATATATATTGACGTTGACATACTTCCATAAAAATATACAACTTTTTAGAAAACCATAAGTAATAAAAATCAATTCATTCATAATCATAGTTCATACCTCTTACATAAATTAGTAAAAGCAAGAACGTTTAGATTTTTGTTACAGGATGTCTTAGAATGGAAAAACAAAATATCCTAAAAGCTTGGATTTTTAAAATTAATTTTATAACTAAAATATAATATTATCATATAGTCAAAGTTAACTTATGAATCGTAAAAGACATAAAAATTACAATGTTTTAATGTTGTAACTGAAACATAATACTCTTAAAACAGAAATTTGATTTAATAATTTGGTTCTCATTTCAACGTTTCATATCAATTTTGGTTCTTAATTGAGGTTTCATAGACCAAAATTGAACTCTTGAAATGAGTATGTCAATGTTTACAATTTTATTGATT